GCAGGAATTGATTTGATAGAACAATTTGGTTTGCCATGTTCTTCGTGGCAGAACGGAATACACAGTACTGGCCTGCTGTCTTTCAGACAACACTGAATGCATTTCCAGGGGTATCTAAGTCCCAGAGACGACATCAGGCCAGACAACATGTCCCAGGTACTGTGTTGTATCTTGGACACGTTACAGGCAAATGTGAAAACCACAGAGTAAGCCTGGAGCAGAGCATCAGCTGGGGTGAACAGTAACACACCCATCAGTTGTATGGGCAGAGGATCATCCAGACATCATTTCTGAGCAGGTCTCACTCTATCCTGCCTGTGTTGAATGACAGTGAGGACAGGCCAATCTTCTGCAGGTTTGGCGAGGGCAGAAGGCTCTGCAGCTGCAAGGAGGCTGTCCCTGTGCTCAGAGGCACACAGCACAGTTGCAGCTGCAGGTTAGTGCAGCAGTCATGGGCATTTCTTGCCCCAGTCAGCTTGGGTGTGACTTGGCATCCCAGCAGTTTGAAGAGCACTGCTCTTGAGATACTGCAGCCCAGAGGTGCTCTGCAAAAAGGGGCAACCTTCCTCAGGATCTAGGTCACAGCTGTATTTATATGACTGAAAAAACAAATAAAGAAAAGTGCTCTGGGGCACAGAGCTTTAGCACTCAGCTAGTGAGGATATTAAAAAGGAGGGAAGATAAGCCACTAAGAGCTTCATTTCCTCTTCAGCTTCTTTCTAATTTATTCTCTTGTTTATTTAAATGCTCTCCCCTTTGGGCAACTGAGTCTCTATTTCACAAAAGGTTTAAAAGAATTTCACAGGCAGCCAGAGCTGTCAGACAAGAAGACCAAGCTGGCTGCAAACCCTCTGGAGCACGACAGAGAATTTAGGTAACTTTAGAAAAAGTCTTTGTGGCCAAACTCTCCTGCTCTGGTCCTTTTTTAACTCTGTCAAAAGGCCAGGTTGCTGACTGCTTAGGAACCGTGCAAAACAGACATTTGTCTTCTGCCGTGTGCGAGACAGCTCTGGGGAGGAAGAGGCTCCTCAACTGGTTCATGTGTTACTGCCTCAATATGCAATGTTAACAGAGATGGACTATCTCTGACCTTCCTCGCTGCTCAGGAGGGTTTGGCATGCTGGACAGGAAGGCCACTGCCTGATGATTTAGGGCCCAGGCAGAGAGGTCATGGTAAAATTATATGCACAGCACACAGCACTTGTCACTTGGCTTCCTTCCACCCATCTCCCACTCCAATTCATCACTATTACTGCAATGAACATCCTAAAAAAAAATCCCCATTATGCACTGTTTGATGTTTCTCATGTGTTTGTGTGACCCTTTTCACCTAGTCTGCTCTTCTCCTTTCCCTTTGCTCATGGGGCTCTTTGGTTTGTCTCCGTGTCAGGAATCAGCTCCCCACTTACATCTTGCCTTTGCTGGTTCATGGAAGCCACCACAGTCAGCAGACAAAGCTGTGATCTGTTGGCATGTCTGCAGCATGGGGTGAGTGCTTGCCAGCATCCACTATGGGAGAAGGTGCAGGAGGGCTTTTTATTCTCCTGTCTGTGGCACAGTGTACACAGCAAGGGGAAAAAGGAGTCTGGTATGTGACAAGCTACTGAAATTATATCTTTGAGTTTGGCCCACCACACCTCTGCTGGTGAGTTAAAATGCAATCTCCATTTCTAGCCCAGCAAAGATTTGAATTTGTGCATTTGCTCACTGCTCAGTCATTGAAAGCTGGCGCAAGAGGATGGGACAGACCTGGACAGAAATGAACTACCTCTTAGACAAGTTCCCTCCAATTCTGGTGACCCAACAGCAGCCCAGCTGTTCCCAGGAACAGGAATAACCTGACCTTGAAAAAGAAACTATGTTCTGATCGACGTCCCATGTATCAGACGACAATGACTAACTTCACAGTCTTCATTAGACCAAAATCAAGTCCATTCTCTAATCTAGGGCTTTTTGAAACATCAGATCTCCATGAGCCATTAGTCATCCTTACCCAGACCTGATATATGTGAATGACTTCAGAATTCCACTACTGGGGAAAAAAAGCTCTTAAAAATCAGTTACCATGATTTGCTGCTTACAACATTTTCAGGTTGTCCTAGTTTGTGAAAAACAACAGGACTTGAACCCTGGCTGAGATATTTGGACAGGCCTAGCTCTAAGATTCAGTTTAGGTTTTTCTTACCTCACTCAGTCTACAGCATTTATCCATGTATTCATCTAAACTGTCACTTGTGGGGTACTTCTTCAGCTGATGTCCATGGATCTGGAGGTCTTGCATGCTGCCAAAGTTCTCTGGGAAATCGTCAGCAATTGTCTTTGGCTCTTCTATGGGACCTGGGGTGTGAAGAGTGCTTTCCCTTGCAGGGCCCGTCTCTGGGGTGGGTTCTTTTTCCAGAGATTGATGTTCGCTCTGGTCAAAATGTTCATCTGGACTTTCTTCCTGAGGGACATCTAAGTCTTTGAGGGAAGCTGTAGGACCCTGCACAGCATCTGCCTCCTGGCTGTAGTACTCAGCTTGCTTTTTGCTCTCTGGATCTTGGTGGCTGACTTTTCTAGTATGCTCTTTACATGTTCTCATTACTAGATGGTCAATTTCTGGAGAAGAAGAAGTGCTAAGCACGCCCGAGTCACAAAATGAGTCCCTGCTGTGAAGCACAAAGCTCTTCTCTGAACCCGTTGGTGTTGATGGAGAATTAGCCCCGCTTGGCAATTCAACCCCTGAGTCCTCAGATTCAAATTTGGAGAATCTGTGAAGTCGGCACTTGGACTGGAAGGCACTGAGGTCAGGCAGCGTGGCTACATAGTCTGTGCTTGCCAGGTCATCTGCATAGTCTGCATCTGCTGGTTCGGCTGCTGCGTTTGGATTTCCCTGGCAGTCCAGTGGGAAGCTGGCACCAGGGAGATGGGACTCTTCTGTGCAGGCTGTGTCAGCTGGAGCCTCTGTGATTAACCCTGGGTTTTGAATTCCTTCATTGCTCAGTATCTTCATATGTGTTAACACAACTTTGTCCTCAGCAGGTGGGCTCTTCTTACCTGCTTAAATGAAAACAAATAGAAGGTCACAAAAGGCTCCAAAACTTAGGGTCTAGTGCATCCCCTGAGGGATGTGAAATGCAAAACTTCTACAGTAAGGTGGTAGAGGGGGACAGCCCTAATTTGTTTTTCTAGAGCTACATGAAGCTTTCTTGTAGGCTTTGCTACAATAGAAGTGTTTTGTTTCACAGCCCCAGAGCCCTTCAAGGCGAGTCATAAATGCACATCAAGTTCTGATGTAGTAGATAGGTAGAAAACAACATGTGTAGCCAGATAACTTTTTAGTGATTACCTGTGTACGAACATAGAGAAATACGTACCCTTTCAGTACAACAGACATTAAGGCTAAAATATTTCCTCTGATTAAAAGTATTCTGAACCAGCAGACAAAAAAGGTAAAACGAAATCTGTCTTTCCACAGGCTTAAGTGAATTTTGGGTTGTAACAAGTGATTTGCAAACTGATATTCTCTGCAGTATTCTCTGCACATATACAGACGACAGAAAGCAAGTACTGCTAGGAAAAGCAAATGAGGCACTGTAGATCTTTTTCACTCCCTTTATGGTTTTAGCTACGAAATAATTTTCTTTAAATGAACTCTAATATTCTCCAAAAAGAGAAAGGAGATGGGAGCAGCTTTGTTCATGAGCTTTTTGCACATGGACAAAGAAGACTTGTTTTCATATCACAATTATTTCACACGGTAATGTGGTAGAACAGTCTCTGGATGAAAGGCTGATATACAGGAGTTGAAGATCTGCCCCCAGATTTTCTTACTGTTTTTCTGAATCTAGTATTTCACCATGCAGACTTCTGGTATGAGAGCCAGTGCAAAAGCTCTGCATCCACCCTTTAACAAACTGCAGCCTCAGCACCAAATCTGTCTGTATGTGGATTTGGAACTAAGAATTCCTGCAGTACAAAACTTCCATTTCTCTGGTACCTTTTCACTTATTAGTGCCTGACCCAGAGTGCCTCAGAGGGCTACAATGCGTACTCTTTTCAGGGTATCTTACTTCCCACTTCATTTCCTTTCATTCGCCTCTCCTACTTCCTTCCTTTTGCCTGACATCAAACTAGGCAAACTCACTCATGGTAATGTAACTATCCCTAAGCAGGCAGAGAAGCTGGGGACTCTCCACAGGTGGTAGAGCAGGATGAGGTCTGCTGTACAGCCCTCCTTCAGAGTAACCCAGAAAACTCTTCGTTTCAGAAATAACCCATTTTTCAGCCTTCCCTCCTCCAGCTTGCTTTCTGCAGTGTCCACAGACAATGGAAAATTTTACTTATTAAGGCCATCTTCTACTTTATTTAAATTCTTTCTATTTGATTATGAGAATTTCTTGGGATACTGCTGAAACATGCCCTTTACTGTTCATAGGCAGCCATAAATTTAATATTTTACACTGGATTTTCATAAGGGGCTGACAGTGATAAATCATGCCATCTGATAGGGTTTTGGGGGATCATGGCCATCATGTGGGCATTGTGCTTATAACACCTTATAGAAGATCTTGTTTTACAGAATTTGCACCTGCCACCCTTGGCAGGATTCACAGTCATCTCTCCACTGTAAAGAGCCACATGTAGGACAGTCAATGCCAGACCATCAGCAGTGCAACACCAGTACGTTGCTGGGAGGGAGGAGCCTGATTTGCAACTTCATGCACAACAAAATGCCACCTATGAGAGGGAGCTTGGTGCCAGGTCTTGGAAGGAGGTAGAGCTGAGTCATTACTCGTTTGGAATAAAGAGGATCTATCTGCTCAGTTGCAAACACTTGTTGGTAGAGTGAGGCAAAGCATTGTATCTGCATGAAAAATAAAAGACTAAGAGGCCCTTCTGATGGCATCGCTATGCTAGATGGCAAAACAAACCCACTGACGCTCAGAAGGAGAGCAGTTGCATTGCTGCACTTTCCTTTTAAGAAGAAATCGTACAGCTATCACTCTTGCCAGGAATTACTAGATGTAATGGTAGTTCCTTCCCACAGACTCCAACTGCCTTCAGTTATTAACCATGCCATTGCTTTCCTTTGACTGGAGATTCTCTTACTGTGTTTCACATCTGCCCCCTTTTTTCTTGCTTAACTGGTTCCACCCTGGCCTACACAAATATTTCTTTGTCTGAAATCAGGAAGCAGCATATTAAAATGAGGTCTTGCTACTTACAGAAGGAGATGTCAGATGCTTTAATTCATATCTTTTATGACTACAAAAGCTAAAATATGTACCAGAAAGTTTGGCTGGGGTAGAAAAACTGAAAAATGAGATGAAATCTCTGACCCTGTACATGAGGGTTCCCTCAATGCCAGAAAGTCCAAGCTGAGAAAGGTCTGCAATCTGGACAAGACAGTCCTTTGCTCTCCTCATCCTGTGGTCACTAGCAGCACACAAGGTTTCACAACAGTTTCTTATTTATCTGTTCTAGGCTGCTAACCACTGATCTCAGCACTGGCAGATCCTGGTAACCACAGTGTTTGAGCATTTCTGATTTAACCTCCCAACCCTTTGCAATGATGCAAAATGTTATCATCCTCCTACCACAAGTTCAGAGTAGATGCAGAGGACAGCACTATTTTGCAAAACACTTAGGCACCTCATCCTCACTCATTCAGTGATGCTTTCTCATGGTCAGTGAGGTCACCTGTGCTTACAGCAGAGAGATCTCCCATGATTAAGGCAGTGACCTGAAACTCAAGTTTTTCTTGCTCCACCTCACTGACAGAACAGTCTCTTCTTCTCTGTTAACTGGGTTATGGGATCTAAACCATGGGGCTTCCAACAAGCAGGTTGTTTCTGCTATAGATCTTGAAAGAGACATACAAAAAACCTCAGGTCTTTCAAGCCTATTGCAAACAAACACCAGAATGGTGGAAATAAAGCTCATCTGTGCAATTACAAAAAACAAAACAAACAAAAAAAAAGCTAGTCAGCCCCTCAGCTGCTATAAATTAGCTTGTTACCAGGGCCCCTACCAAAATCACGTCAGCTAATTCTGGCTGAGCAGTTGGCTTGTAAGTGCTTTGTACAACAATACCAGAGCCCCAGAGCAAAACAGGGAAGATGGACTCTTGTCTGTGCTGGAGGGAGCGTGCTGCGGGGGTTCAGTTACAGAGCCGCACTGAGGCTTCTGAAAAGAGGTGTGAAGCACTTCAGAGAGCTGAACGCGTGGCATTAAGTTTGGTAAGATGTATTTACTTGTGCTGGAGGCCAGCCAGGTTTGACACTGCTGCTCCTGGGAAATCGGCCAAGATTGTTGTTGTTGTATTTTGTTTCCTTTCCCCTGGACTGATTTTCCACACCACTTCTAGGTGCAGGTAAGGTGCTGGAAGGTGGCTGGCTGGGGCACTGGTATGGCAGCAGGAAGGGGAATGGAGTTGCTTAGGAACCAGTATAGCTTCCTGCGGCATCTTTGGCAACATGTGTCTGGGCCAAATATGGTCTGGGGTTAACCTGTGCTACTTTCCTAGTAGCCCTCTTGGAAGGTTATATGGCTCTGTAATCACACTAGAGATAAACAGGGTTCCCTGCATTGTAGTATGAGCCTGTAACTGATGGTGACTTGGTGATTATGTATAACCATAGGCAAGTTGCTGGATTCCCTGTGCCTGTACAATTGGAGAGTAAGACTGCTTTCCCTCTCACAGGGAGGTGGTAACAGTGAATTAGGTAATATCTAAAGGTAATTAGTAGGAAGGAAAAGGAACTGATGTGTCCCAGCTAGGTCTCTAGAACTTTGCTTCGCTTTGTTTCCAAATTGCTTTCTAGGATACTTCTCTGTTGGCAATCAGCAAAGCCCAGCAGAGAAACTTAAATCCTTTGAAGGTGAATAACATCCCATCAGCTCCCGTTCCAAGGCTTTTCTTTCCTTGGAGTTTTAAGTCCAAGTGTATTTTTCCTGTTGCACACTACCTAGTAGCTGCCAGGGCACAGCCTAGTTCATTAATACAGAGATTTCTGACCTGAGGAAGGAGGGCAGATATCTAACATGAAATTACTTTCAAGCACTTTCTTCATCCCAAGGTGCATGCAAGAGATGCGCTCACACAACTGCCCAGGCAAAACTCACGCATTCCCAGTCCTGCCCAGACCCAATTCCTGCAAAAGCTCCTACCTTTCTAGTAAATTAAGCCAAAGTCTGTATTCAAATCCCCATGCTCTAAAGCACTGAAATCCAGGTCCAAGTTTTTTTATTTTTTGCATCTATATCTGTGGCTCAAAGGCATGTTTCACTGGCAATTCCTTCAATGCGAGCCCTATTAAGCTCTGCTAAATCACTGAGAGGGGTTCTTGGCCTCTAACCCGTTGGCTCAAGTATCATAGCACATGGTCTTCTGGTGCATCCAGCTAATGGGAAGAGGCCAAATTGACAGTAGGATGAGTGCTGCTAGTGGCAGCACAGAGCTACGCCATATAGCATTGCCCTGTGCTGCTCTCCTCTCTTCTGGTTTGTGCCTCTCCCCACCCCCCCATCTTTTCAAAATGTCCATGCTTTGTAGGTTACTTGGCATGGGGAGAATCTCTTGTTAAATATGTGCACAACGACTGGCACAACTGGAGCCAAAACTTTGCTTGTCTCCATATGCCATTGTGTTACAAAGGACAGCAGCATTGGAGCCATGGCAGCCCTCTGCTTGTCCCCAGAGCCGCTGCAAGGTTCATGTGCACAGAGAACCCATCCATGGTGGGTGGTGCTGGCAGGGTTTTGCAGGGTGGCAGTCCCTGGGAGAGGCACAAGGTGAACAATCCAGAGATGCTCAGAGTGCCTATTCCTCTCCCCACTCCCATCCACAACTAGACATGCAACACCCTCTAGATTTAAATTCGTGAGGCCAGTACTTTCCAACTGTAGTGTGCCACAGGAAAAGAGCACCAGAAATAAAGGGCAGCACCAATGACTTGGGCTGCTGGAGTAGCAGAGATTTTGCTGCCCTGCAAAGGATGACCAAAGTCAAACCCCATCATTCTTACCAGTCTACTTAGCCCTGAGCACAGGGG